AGTAGAATATAGGTGGAAGCGTCTGTTACAATAAAATGTCTATAGAGGGTCCGTTAGGAACAAGATGAAGCAATAACTACTGTACTGGTCGAGAGTTTCCCATTACTTTCAATGTTAAATATTCATTCTTCACGGACTCTTGGTCCATGCCCTTACACCAGAAGTGTCACAGACTCATGCTTCGGCACGGATGGGCCGGATCGACGGCCTCACAGAAAAGCGACTTGAAAAAACGCTTGCGTTGTGTTTCGTCGTGTGAGTGAGGTTTCCGGAGGCCTAATTGTCCATTCCAATTCTAATTCCTCTCCCCAATCTCCTCAATCCCTGAATCCCCAATCATCCTCAAATTCCTTATCCCAAAAGGCCGGTAACGCACTTAAGTATAACGCCTCTGGTGTTCCGGGTGCCCATGGACGACGCCGATTGCGTACCATTAGGTGATCGGTCCGCTCGTTTATTGGCTTACTTATGCCATAAAAAAAAGTGCATTGCTGGCCTTTAAGTACTTGTACTCTCACGCCGCTGAACAATAGTCTACAAAAGGTGTTTTATGAACATGATAGGTTAGCCTACGACAATATCACTGACCTATTTACTTCTATTGACTTACTACTGACTGATAAGCAGCTGATAGATAGGTTTCCATTCATTACTGTCTTTTAACATTGTAATATTTGATGTGTATACTGAAAATGGAATATATGATGTCCATTCAAACATGTTATGCGTATATTTGTATTGTAACTTTCGTGAGACATATGGCTCTAGAATGGCTTGAAACTAGTCGAGTTCCTCGTCAAATTATTACGTGGGTAAGCCGAAAACATAATAATTAATGTTATGCGTATGTTGACAAATCTGCATTATAAGAACTCGAGTCTTGTTGAAGGCTCGTTCATTTGGAATCAATAAGATTGTTGCTGTATGTATTTTTTGTAACTTGTTGTACATATTCTATCTAGTACCCCAGTGAAGGAACTAGAAAAAGGGATTGACGTCATAAAAGATGGGATGATGACCTCAGGCAGGGGTTACATGGCACAGAGTAGCTCAAGAACGACACGAATGGAAAAGGTTGAAGGAGGCCTTTGCCGACCGGCAAACAGATCTCCAGAAAATCAGTAATAGGTATTTTATAGATACTACACCTAAGTAAAGTTAACAAGTTTAAAGTATGTAACAGTTTTAAGTTGAATCTGAATAAAGGGGCTACTTTATTTTTATTTATTTTTGTTTTAAAAATTAGCTTTGCTATTCATCTTTATATAGTACTAGCGGACCAGACAGACGTTGTCCTGCATATCCACTTGAATGTATAAACAAAAATTCATTCAAATTAGTTCAGCTGTTTAGGATAAATAACATAAACATCGAATGCAGCGCCATCTGCCGGGCTGATTTGTGAATCTAAACCATTCTCAGATCCCCTTGAACACACACAAAAAATTTCATCAAAATCGGTCCAGTCGTTTGAGAGAAGTTCAGTGGCATACACACTCACAGAAGAATTATATATATAAAGATTACTGAAAAATAAATATACATAAGTGTCAGAAATGTGTTTGAAAGTTTAATAACTTCCCCACTATTCTATTTTCTTCATTACTTTTAAATTTAAACCAAATTCGCGAAACGCTGTGTTTTCACGTCATGCTACGCAGAATTTTTGCGAGAATGCGTGTCGTTGGCGCAGTACTATAATAATTGATAACCCTGAACCGCACAGCTTGATATAAATAAAATTGAACAAGCTGTCTCAATATTTAACAAGAAAGTGGTCAAGGGCGCGTCACAATAGAGTTCCCGACCGACAATCAACAAGTCGCCCACTGCACACGTTAGCAAAAAAATGTAGAAAAAAAATCCATTAATTTTTGCATCCTAGAATTTCGGCGAGACATTTTAAAAGTCAATCAATCAAAAAAGGCGACGACTACCGCCACATTTTCGGTACAGATAACACGAAACAGGGCAATAGATAAGTAATTTATATCGCAACCGCTATCGTGCATTGTATACTTTCTTCGAGTTATCGTCGTAATCAAATCAGTGCCAGATACCGGTGCGTAGATAGAGATAGCACAATGAAAAATTCCGTGCGATTCTAAACTTTGTGACAAACTAATCATGGCCGAATATTTTTAGTTTTTAAGAAAATTTTCATTGCGAGGTCATTGTATTCCTGACGGACGCAGACGATGTGTTGTCTCACACTCATATGCACTCGCATATGTGTCGTTTACATAATTTGTCATTTTTATTACTAGAGTGTTGTATAAACCGCCTGTAACAGCCTGTATATACAAACTTCGAAACTATGTTGGTTATACAAAGTTTTAACTATGAATGTTCTACATCTCGAATGAGGATGCGTTCATAGTTGATATGATGACATAGTTGTAATTAAACTTCGGTTTTAGTACACAAATCATAAGAGGCAACCGTCCATTGAGTAGGACATTTACTTCTTTCGAGTCCATTGCTCGCATACGCCCCTCTCAGTCAATCTCGCGGCCTTTTAAATCAATTAACCATTTCTACGATTTTATACGGAACCCGGAAATCGATAAAAACTCGAACTTCTTCGATATCTTATCGATACCCACCCACGTTACTCGCACATCATTAGGACACATGATCTTGATCTGCGACATTGTCCGTGAATAGTAGAATTTTAGCAATTCGCAAGAAATCAATAAATATTTGCATTAAATGGCAATTCAGTCAGTTTTGTGAGGATTATGCATATTATGCATATTATGTTAAGTGGTTGCAAATAAGCTATTTAAATAAGATTACGTTTTTATTGTAGTATAAACCGGTGACTGCATCGTGACAGGTTTTTTTTGGTATAAAAAAAATGTCACCGGTTCCATTTTCGACTGGTAATAAAGTTTTATCCTGATCGACGCTATGGTTTGGGTTTAGATGTGATAATAGATTATCACTAAAATTTTATTGCTCACACTTACTGTTGTCCATTCATTGGCGAACAACAACTACAGACGTTAGAACAATACTTTTGTTTTCTAATATTTTTACGGTTTATTGATTATATTTTCCTTTATAAATTCACTGATTTTGTGATCACACAATAAGATTTTAACTGTCCCGAGTGAGAATATAGCTTCAAGTCTCGCAGAAGCCAATCCGTAAGCAATTAAGCATGCTAGTTATTGACTGATACTTCTACGTAATATTTCTGATATATCTAACAAGTTTTCTGGGATTAATAAAAATCTCAGTAGTAGCACGGAGTCTGGAACTGTGCCCAGTACCTACATGGCAATATGCTCACCCCTATTACATGGGACTCATAACATAGAATAGTGGAAAGTGGGTGTTACATGGTACAGTGGCATTAAGTGCCATAATGTGCACCTCTGCCTACCCCTTCGGAGATAAAAGGCGTGATGTTATGTTATCTAACTAGCTCAGTAAAAATGTGTTATAAGAAAGTTCTAAGGTATTAATTTATGGTTTACAATGGCGCCTGTACTACAATCATTAAACTCTGGCACCACCTGCAATGACAGGTTGTTGGCCAAACGCCTACAACACTCATTACATAATAGACTTCCTTCAATTAACAAGAGAAATTCAATGGAAGTTTTAATTCAATAGCAAGAATATTCAATTAATTTGAAACTTATACATCACTCAAAGGACATGGTAGATTTATAGCCATTTCTACTATTATGCTATCCTTGATACAATACCATTCCTATTTATTTATCACAATTCCTTTGCTATTAGTTATGACTTGAGAAAACTTTAAATTACAATTTAGTACAAACTGGCATTTGAACTCGAGTTTACTCGAGACTCGGCTCAAGAAATAAAATTGAAAAAAACTGAATTAACAAAAAACGTGGGTTACTCGCGTGAATATACTGAGAAAAGCTCTACTAGTTTTGAACCACAGAGGTTTTAGTTGTCTCACGATAGTTATTATAAAATCATTAATGAAAACTTTATTTAGGTGTGTTTTTTTTCTCATTCTCTCTATATATCCTATTCTGTCTTCTAAATAAAAAAACAACAATTTGCAACCTTAATTGTGAATAATTAGAGATGATAAAATTTTACATAGCATGTAGAATAAAAAATATAGGTTTACATATTTTCTGTTAATATTTTTGAACTTAATTTATTATTAATGTTTAATATTTAACCCATTCTAAAGAAAACAAAAGTTTTCCTCGTAACAGGGAAAGTAAAGAGTGATTGCTTATGGTACGCAAAATTAATTTTAACCTAACTTCACTTACATTTAAATATTCATTCAGCTTTATACATTTTGTAATTTTAAACTAGAAATTGACTGATTTTGGAAAGAAATGAGTGAATTTTAGATCCAAAACCACACGATAGACGCTCAACACGTAAGTATGCTAGTTTTCATTAAAAAAAACAATCATGCTAATATGTATTTTTTTTAAAAATATTCCGTTTATCAAAATTACTTTTTTCTAGGTAAAAAGGCGATTAGCCCACTGTGCTCAAAAGTGGAACAATTTTATTAATAATTTTTTTATTTTATAATATTGATATAGGTAAAATAAATGCCCACTAGGTGGTAATAAAACGCGTGTAGCATTAACGAGGCGTGAAGATACGATTAGAACGTGCACTTGTTTATACATGTGTTGATTGTAGGCCATTCCGTTGGCGCTGAAATGTGCCTAGTACTAGTAGAGCCAATAGCGAACTATTTCTAAAACTACCGCTACATTTTGATACTTCTAGTACCTAACTATAAATATACAAATCACTTAGTTCGACAACTAATACACTCACCAACTGACTCCACTCAATTTTTTTCCCAAAATAACCATTTTATGACTTGTACACGTCATTTTCTCGGTGGGCCTACAACACTTATTAATTTAAAACGACCGAGACAACATTAACATTTATTTAATTTCTACATAGGTACCTACTTACTACCGTTTGCTCAAGATAATTGAAGAACATAAATTCACCAGATTAAAACTCACCTGTTCAAATCTCTATACACTGCCGCGCACAGATGTTACACAAACAATATTTTTTAACTAATAAACTGTTACACTGAATTTTTCCGAACCGAAGTCACACTTTCGAATTACTTTAGTTCACACAAATGGATGTTTTTCAAAACCGCGTTAGTTTCCCAACGGCGTGTCACTTTCGTACAGTTTCCGACCAGATCGTGTTCACTTTGTGGTTATTGTAACTCTAACTCGAACAACTCAACACTCGTATTATTGGTGCAAATAGACATCACACAGGGAAGGTAATTGATACTAGTAATATTTCCCACCGACGTTTCTCTGCGAACTGAAAATCACGCACATTATTAGCTAACACAGAAACCACAGAAAATACACTTTTATTAAATTTCGGCACTAAAATATCATAGAGTAATAAAACGCCAGTGGCGTCACGCGGGTGAAAAATAAACAAATTGAAAATAACCGAACATTGTCAAAAAGAAAATACAAGATTCGATAAAGGACGCGATAAAACGTGTAAGTCAGCAAATGTTTACTCAAATAATTGATGCTGGGCACGGCGGCTGAGGTGCAAACTTACAGTGCGCCTCCGTGCCAAAAGAGATTTTGTCAAGCAATTAACAGATAACTGTCGTCAGAAAAAAAAAGTTTTTTTTTCTTTAAGAAACTGTTCGCCCGGAGCGTTTCGTAACAGGCGAGCTCAGAACACAAGTCGTTACACTGAAATCGTCCCAAATCAGCGATCACGTACGCACGTACCGCGTGGAAACAGACCACCTAGGCACCAAACACTAATTTTCACCTGTGAGAAATGATAAAATCAACTTTTCCACGCGGTCCGGCCTTCACTGCATTGTTATGCAATTGCAAAACGCCGGACCGGCTGCCAAATCGCGAAACTAAGGTTTTCGAACGCGCGAAGTTGTTCGGAAAAACGTTAACCGGAAAAATCCTAACCTCAAAGAGTGAAAGCGGCGGAAACTTTTTGGTGATACTTTGAGGTTATTACTCTATGGTATTTTGTGTTTGCCGATCACATGTTGGTCAATTACCGGCTGCGATTTATCGAGAGCGTGTTCGGGTGCGCGCTCGGCCGAGTACGAGCAGCGGCATAACGTGACCGGCACGGGCGACAACTGGCGCGATACTGAGGCGTCGCGCCCAACTGCTATCTGGACTCCGCGGCTCGCGATACACTTTACGTCTTCAAAAAAGCTCAACCTAACGTGCTAGCGGTACCGTCAGCAACGAAAACTGGTATACGAATGTACGGTCATAAAAAACGTGGAGTTTGTGTTTTGGCCATGTAGAATAATGAAACATGACGACGCGTATGGTTCGAGGAACCGATGCATCATCATGGACAAAGTAGTGAAGAGACTTTTTCCTGGATTTAACATATTAATTTAGAGGAGGAAAGATTAATTAACCGAGAAAAGGAGTTATCTAAAAGAGCACTTAATAGTATTTATCAGGAGGCAACAAAATATATGTATTTACATAAAATTATTACTTTACTACTTACCTACCATGCGCGTGAGTCAACGGATAATAAAATATTTTTACACTTATTTTTATCAATTAAGTAGCGCATTAAGTTTACTGATCATAAGAATAATGACCACATAATATTGTGCGGAGTGTAAGAAATTGATGACTTATTGACCTTAACATAAATTATATACTTACTTCTATATTAACCGGATATCCCCAAATAACATAACGTCACGCCTTTTATCTCTGAAGGGGTAGGCAGAGATGCTGATGAAATGATACGGCACTCAATACCACTGTACAATGTGCAATGTATTTATGTCATGACTCCCATGTAATAAGAGGTGAGCCTATTGCCATATACCGGGTATAATTCCAGGCTCCGTGCTAATACTGAGAATTTTAAAAAATAACCAGTAATACTTTGCACGACCCGGGAATCGAACTCAAGACTCCTTGCTCGGCAGCCACCCTTGCGACCACTCGGCCAACGAGGCAGTCATATCCCCTATTTCGATCAAGGAACCAATACAAGTAGGTCACATTCTAATTACAACTTAAAATCAAGACACATTAAGTCAGTTTCAGAATGTCTGCATAAGTCAGAATTAGTGAAACCTACGGATAAGTACACTGTAACTTAATCAAACTTTAATATAGGCGCTTTAGTACTAGTGTAACAGTATCTTTTTAATATATCTGCCTATCCCTTTAAGGAACAGTGATATTATCAAATCTACGTTGCGAGCTCTACCAAATCCCGGCAAAACGTAAGAAGCTGCCCATACCTAGGATTTCAATCGGCTAATGACCAAAAATTCATTTAGCCACCGAAAACTTGGCTTAATTCGCGAGGAACAAAACTAAATGCCGATTACTACCGAGCTGTTTTCGATTAAAAATCTTGATACTTTTTTTTATTAAATAAACATTGCCCCAAATTAGATTTTCTCGTGTACAGTGGGTGCGTTTACAAACATACTAAGTTTTTTTTATGGAATAGAAGGCAAACGAGCAGACGTATCACCTGATGGTAAGCGATCAGCGCTGCCCATGGACACCCGCAACATCAGAGGAGTCACAGGTGCGTTGCCGGCCTTTTAAAAAGGAATACGCTCTTTTCTTGAAGGTTTGAAGGTCGTATGGGTTCGGAAATACCACCGACGACAGATCATTCCACAATTTTGCTGTGCGAGGCAGAAAGCATCGTGATTTCACGTTAAAATGACACCCAGAACTGAAACAACAATTTGTGGATCACACAAAGGGTTGTGCCGTGCGGGAATCGAATCCGCTACATTTTGCACGGCAATCAGTTGCCCAGCCACCGCAGTAACCGTGCACATACATACATATATAAATACATTACTTGACGCCTGTCTCCCATGGGGTAGGCAGAGACTATGGAACGCCAATTGCTACAATTCTTACATACTTCTTGTGCTTCGTCAACAGGCATCAATCTTTTAATGTAAGCTCGCCGGTTAAGGGTACTTTTAATTTAGCCCTTCTTATTATTTTCAAACGTGCAGTTACACTGAAGTTTTTCTCAAAACCTAATAGGGCCGATGCCGATTCGGAGTCGCGGAGAACCTAACGGGTAACCGGGGCTCCGGCTCGACGTGCAGGAGAAGGAACAGGGTTGTTTTTAGTCAGTAAGAGTCTGACACTCCCTCCCGCCTCACCCAGGTGGAAGCAGTCATTCGATGATTTTCCCCCCTTAAAAAAAAAGGTTTTGGATTAAGATCAGTTCAATTCAATTCGATCGTGAGAGGATCCAACTCTGCAGTCATTGCGCATATAGTTCATGTTGAACTCAACTACCATTTGTTCGATTAACCTCACTGAAGAAATGTTATGTCCCTTTATTGTTGAATTTACATCAATAAATATTCAGTTATTATATGATTTGGACCGAAAACTACAGAGATCGGTCTAAAGTGTCATATATACGGAGCCGCGGAGACCTTAACAGGTTGCCGGGGCTCCGGCTCGAAGTGCAGCAATGCTATTCTCTAAGAAACAATTTCTATGCTGTACGCTGCGTCGAATTCGTCGACGAGGCAGCCTAGAGATCGACCGAGCCTTCAGCGCTGTTTCAAACTGTATTCACTAACACAGTATAGCTCGTCGGCGAACTGATGGCTGTAAGCTGTCGCCGTTGTTTTATTGACGAATTAAGGCTTTCAACATTTTTCCTTAAATCATAATCGATCATCCCCGGCTGCGAGTTTTATCGGTTTAAAAAATATATAATAAATAGAACATAAC